GTCCTGCATAGCCACGAGCAAAGGAACTAAAGCAACATCTCTCCCAGAACTGGTTGCACCCGAAGTCTCCCACTAGCTTCTTCCTCCATCTCCCTAACCCTTTTGCTCCCATACTGTGTGAGCTCTGGCTCACAGAAACGCTGGTTTAAGGGTTTGTCAAGAAAACACCACGAATTTAAAAAAAGGGTGGTGGTGGTGGGGGCTGCTGAGTGATGCTGAGACCCGGGACCGCCGAGGGGAAGGGTTGAAATACGGAGGGTTCAAGCTCCCTGGACAAAATGGTGCTTAAAAAGTCCAATAAAAATCACCGCGGGAAGAATTATGATCGGACGCCAGGCCCATCAGATTGCTCAGCTTGGCTCAGCCTCCGCTGGGCTTTCACGGGGAGGTGGTGTGAACAGCTTCTGGTGAGATGGATTGGTCCCCGGTCGCCCCTCCGGGCAGGGAGCGGGGAGATCCGGCCCTACAGCCACACGGGGCTCCAAGAGACGCCGTTGAGTCATTTCTCATGGCTCGCAGAAGGACGCCCGACTCGCTCCCAGCCCAGGAATAACCCTCTCCAAGCCTCCAGAGAGGGGTTCCTGTGCTGAAGGGAGGTCTCTAACGCTGTTGAAATGTTCTCAATTACTGGCTTTATGCAAACCTGGTTAGGTTTAGGCAGATCCCTAAATAACCTTGCTCTCCATGACAAGGGTGTGGAACTATGGGACACGCTCCTTCCTCGAGGGAGATGTTTGCTGCCAGCATCTGTGGCAGCTCAGGACTGGAGGCTGCAACCTTGCCAGCAGCACCAGGGTGAGACGGTCCCTTTGTAGCAAAGTTGGGAAGTGTTGCAGACCCCTAGGCAAAGCCTCGGTCAAAGGTGAGGGGCACGTCCTGACCAACACACCTCTGACCTCTACAGCCATCCCTGTTGGCACCCACCCAGGGAGATGCATGGGTTGCAGCAAGCACCCAGCTCACCCTGTTGGCTGCGCAATGTCCTGCTCTTCACCAGAACCTCCACATTTGGTGCCTCAGATTGGACCCCCTTGTCCTGCTCAAGGGTCCTATTGCTGCAGGTTCTATGCTTCTACCTTGTTCACCCCAGCCCTGCTCATTGGCCAGCAAAGTGGCCACTGAGCCACCGGCGTTCTTGTGGTCACACTCTGGAGAGAGGATGTGGGGACTGGCAGGGAAAGACTGTGAATAATAGAGAATGTCCTCAGAAAGGCCCCTTTAAACTCATGAATGGGAACGTGCCCAGATCAATGGGCTAACAGCGGCAAAAAGGCATTCGAGAAATTCCTGCGGTCGGTTCAGATGCGGGAATGCTGCTTGAGTGTCACCAGCTCCCAGCCTGGTAGGTGGCTTATCAGGACAAGCTGCACCCAAAACTGACCTGAGAGATGCTTCCCACTGTGGTGATGGGCAAAGCAACCATGTGTCACTCAGAAATGTGCCCCGTGCAATGCAACTTGACCTTGAGCAGAGGAGGGTGTGGAACAAGCCAGGTCCTGCCTTAGGAAAGGGCTGGGGCAGCTGCCCTGGCCCCTGGGAGGGAGGAGCCCAAGGAAAGGAGACTCCTCCAAGGATGAGGTTCTGGCTGGTGTGAGTGCTGGGGCTGATCTGCTTCCTAGATCAGTGATGGGGTGAGGAGCTCTGAGCACCAAGATGCTCCACACAGACAGGGCTTCATCTCAGGAGCCAAGCTCCTTGCAAAAAAAAAAAGCCTGTGAGAAGACATCTCTGCATCTCCTTGGCTGCCAAGCATCCGTGCTCATTGGCAGAGCCCATGATGAGCCTGGTGGCATCGTGGTGCAAGAGGTCTGCTCTGCCATCCCTGCAGCAGGCTGGGAACAGAGAAGCTTTGGGAGGCCGTAGGGGGATGAACAGACGGATCCTGGTGTAGAGCACAAAAATCTCCATGTTCCCAGGCCATGAGACAGAACATTTAGTTTGCAAGTCCCTGTCCAATAGCAGGAGCCTGTGAGAAATCTGGTATTTCATCTGCTGAACTTTTTGTATTTGAGTATTTCCGGGGTTCATTATTACCTGATGCAGAGTGAAAGCGGAGCCCCCTTGGCTTGCAAGGGACAAATAGTGCTCGACTCCTCCCTCAACACCCTCAGACTGGAAATTGTGATGTCAAGTGCCAAAGGCCCCATCCCCAAAAATCAGTCAGTAAATTAGGTCCAATTTAACACGATGACACCGTGGAGCAGAGCTTGGCCCAGCAGGATCCAGGGAGACCCTTCGGATCCTGTTCTGCTGCCATCTGCCTTTTGCCGCGGAGGGACCAGCTGGGGCTGACTCTCTCCTGCAGTGTGCACTCGAGGTCCCACTGATCCTTAAACTGCTACCTCATATGCTCCATCTGCCTGGAAATCACAGAATGGTTTGAGTTGGAAGGTACTTTAAAGACCACCTAGTTTGAAACCCCCACCGTGGGCAGGGACACCTCCCACCAGAGCAGGTTGCTCCAAGCCCCACCAACATGGCCTTGGGCACTTCCAGGGATGAGGCTTCTCTGGGCAACCTGTGCCAGTGTTTCACCACCCTCATAGCAAAGAACTTCCTGATGCCTAATCTAAACCTTCTCAATATCAGCAGCAGAGTCCCTGTGGATGGGAAAAAAACACCCTTAAGCATCTAAAAAATCTCAGCTAGACCATGGGCTTCTTTCATGGCAAGGGGTGAAACGGGGAGTTGTGGACGTAAATGGAAAAGGAGATGGGGAGAGGGGAAGCCTGCCCTGCCCCATGCACCCAGCACCGCTGGCATCCACCTACAACACTGCCCTGAACGGCGGTGTTGGGTTAAATGAAAGAGATGCAGAGGCTGCAGGTGCTGCCAGCTCTCATGATGCTCAGGGGAAGACTCGGGGTATGTCTGCCAGTCCCGGGGGCTTGGCCAGGGTGGGGACATCCCCGCACTGAGCCCCCTTGGAGCCAGGACAGAAAGGAGGTTTAACAGGACCTTTGGGGAGGAGTTCTCTGTGGCTGAAAGAAGGTGGTGAGGTGCACTACGGCATGAAATGAAGCTCCTGAGGAGTCAGGAGATATTTCTCCTGATGGAAGCAGGAAACAGAGGCTGGTGTTGTTAGGAAATGGTGTTGTAAGGAAGAGAAGACCCACCTCTGCTTGGCTTCTGGTGAGGTGGGATGGTCTCTGTTCCTAACATCTCAGTGCTTCAGTGTGATGGACACAGCCCAACCCCACGTCTCACGTTGGCACTTAATTTGCAAGTCAAAGCAGCAAAAAGGCCAATAACTAGCACCCAAGCTGGCAGCATCCTGGCTGGGGCAGGGTTTCCATGTGTCTCCGTGCTCCTTTCAGCTCTGAAAGCCACAGAAGGCACTTGAAGAAGTGTCACACACAAAGCAACAGGCACAAACCTGAAGCTGCAAGGTAGTTCTTGCTCACACCAGCCTAAGAGAAGACACTGAAACAGAGTTGCTGCTACTGTGTTTGCAGGCAGCAGAACTTATCCTTCAAATCGGTCCTACAGAGAATCCTGGTCTTTACCTTCCTATGACGCTGGGGACTGAAGATCTTGTCCCTTTGCTCCTCGAGTTTCCCACCCCGGGGAGAGCTCCTGAGCGTACGGCAAACACCCACAGCCGGCGTGAAAAGCCCTGCCGTGGGACGAGCCCCAGCTCAGAGTTCAACTCAAGGTGACGTCCATCACTTTTAGTACGAAATCCTTGATTTATGAACCCTCCTACACTCGTGAGACAAAAGTAAACAGCCCTTACACCTCGTGTCCTTCACAGCCACGATGCTGGGCAAACACCCTGGGAATCTGCAGGCAGCAGGCTGGGAAAATCACCGTCTCCCAGGGCCCTCTTGCTCCTGCTGTGATCCTCTGCACAGACCCACCCAACCTGAAGGAACTGGGGACAGCAAGGTCCCTTGTTGACATAGTGATGAGGATGAGAGGAGGAGAAATGGGAGGATACACACACCATGATGTGCCAAAGCTTTCTCACGATGATCCTCTGTATTGCAGCTTTCATAAATACGGTGGTCTGAGCCCCTCAGGGCTGTGCTGCTGTCCTCAAGCTGCAGCTGCTGCTGTGGGACCTCCCACTCCAAGCTAAGATGTTTCTCCTGCTTTTATGGTCACCGGCCTTGAGACACATCTGGGCACAACGGCCCCAGCAGTGCCACCAACCACAGCTGTGTCCACCCTGAGCACCCGCAAAGCTGGACAGGAGACACGTAAAGCACGCAGCACCCGAGATCGCTCAGCACAAGAAATACTCGGCTTTAGGCAAGTAAAGGAAATGCTCATATGCAATAGGTTGTCTCTTCTCTTGTGGAGGATTTTCAGTTCTCCAGTCCTTCTCCATCAGAAAAAGTCAGTGTAACTGTTCTCTTCACCTCCTGAGAGAGCAACCGCTAAACTTTAATGATCAACCAGTGGTGGTCTTGAGCTCATACCTCTTTTCCATCCAGTGCTTGTTCCACACTGAGTAACCCCTGTGTGCTTATAGGTTTAGCAGCTGTGGGAAAATCTTTCTGCATCTTCTCTGCACTCCCACATACTCCTCAAAACATCCAGGTCTCAGAATCACAGAATGGTTTTGGTTGGAAGGGACCCTTAAATATCATCTCCTTCCAACCCCTCTGCCATGGGCAGGGACACCATTTGCCAGTCCAGGTTGTTCCAAGCCCCATCCAGCCTGGCCCTGGACACTTCCAGGGATGAGGCATCCACAATTGCTCTGGGCAACCTGTGCCAGGGTCTCACCACCCTCACAGTGCAGAATTTCTTCCTAACGTCTAATCTAAATCTACCCTCTTCCCATTTGAAACCATTACCCCTCATCCCATCACTATGCCCCCAGGCAAGAGGGATGCTACACGCTTGTTTCAAACACTCAGACCTTTTGGGCATAAAAGGAAATCACACATCCCAGTACAAGCAACAGAATTTATGTATTAATTTCGGCTCAGGCAGACGATTGCTCAAAAGACATTTACAATCAAGATGTTTTAAGAGAAGAGACAACGTACCTGCAGGCTCCTCTGTGCTGCTGGCGGCAGTGGTGGGGGGAGCGGCAGGAATCTCTGCACAGGACAGCGAGAAGCAGACAGGAAAAGGAGAGGAGATAAAAGAAGGTATTATTTCAGGTTCCAAAGAGCCTGGCCTCTGCACACAACACATTTTCCCTTCCCAACCACGTCTACCAGCAAGGGGTGTTTCCCAGCTATGTCCTCCAGCTAGAAGCCTTGCAAAAGCCCCAAAAAACCAGCATACCAGGACGATACCCTCTGGGGAACGAGGCCTCCCAAGAAGGTGTGGGAAAGGCTTTTTTTAAACCAAAAATTCTGGCTTGTGGCTAAAAATAAAAGAAGATACAGCCAGCCAGATAACTGAGATGGTGCCACGGCTGGCGATTGCTACCCAGACACAACCTGCTGCAATCACCAGGTCCCAGTTTGTACCCCAGGGTGAGGGATGCTCTAGCAGGGGGACTTGGAGGGTCCCTGAGGGCGATGCGGCTGTGCAGTGCCCACCTCCAGCAGGCAACGGGAGCGTTGCTGTGTCTCCCTGTCCCTGGGTTGTCCCTTGCAGCTGCTGTTTCCATCTCTGTGCAAGATAGGAGGCAGGTAAGCTACAGCATCTGGCTGCTGGGGACGCAAGTGTTCCCTCACACATTTAAAGGAAACACAAATGCAATGCAATTGTCCTCGATTTTGCTTTGGGGCTCACTTTACACAGCTGAAACCACATAACGTTCTGGGTCTCCTGCCCAGGTCGGGCTGTGTTTGTTGATGTTAAAAAGGATGGACCGCAGGTGGAACACATTATATAGTCCCAGCTTCAGCAAGATGAGCTCCTTTCCCCAGTGCACACATGCAGCTCTCATTACTGACATTTTTAAGGCACAGTGCTGCAATTCCTGTGCATCCCATGGAATCCTGGCAGGGCAAAACCCAATCAGTCCATTCTGAAAGTGGAATTTAGGCATGAACTAGGGTCTAGCATCTGCCTCCTTCTGCTTTTGCTCTCGGGAACCTGCCTGGCCAGTGAGGCAGGGTTTGCCGGCATCTGCATTGCAGTGATGGCAGCTGGTAGAGGTGCAGCCCAACTACCATTAGATGACTTTTTGAGTTGTTCACCCTCGTGCAGTTAAACACAGGCACGTTCACTGTGTGAAACACGTGATGCACAGTCAGGCACGAGCAGCCAGCCCGAAGCTGGCAGCCGAGTGAGTGCTTGTGCCTGCCAGTGTGGGCTGGAACAGACAAGTGGTGACTTATTTGTTCTCCACGAAGTGATTTTTGCATGACTACAAGTCTTTGGGACACGGAAAATGCAAAGAGTGGTAAATCAGAGAGTGACTGTGCTCTTGCAGAGAAGGTGCACAGCCCCTTGCTGGCTGCAGAGAGCGGCATGAGTCGGGGTGGAGAGCAAATGCCCAAAGCTACGCATGTGAAAAGTATGTGTGAACTACAGCCCTCCCCCACGTAGGATATGCTGACTGGCATTTTTCAGGGATGAAAATGTGCTGGTTTGGGTTTTTCTAGCATGAGAGAATTGCGAGTTGCTCACGTCCTCACTTTAATTGTTTTAGCATCGTACACGCAGATGGAGCTCCCAACAACTGCACAGCGGCTTGGTAGCCAGAGCATTGCTTGAAACTCATCCCAAACAGAAGTTTTAGCCTTTTGGACAGGATGTTTTGCAGTGACACAGAAGTAAGGGGCTCTGGCGGGTGCCAGGGTGGTGGCTGGGTCACTGGCGTGAACACAGCCCGGCTCTGAACGCCAGGTTGGATCGTGTTGAAATTCTATGTCTGTCTTTATTTAGTGCAATGAATCCCAAGGGAGGTGATGCAAGGAACAATTTACTCTCTGATTTACCATGGCCCTAGGGAATGATTAATGATAAACCTTTGTGCATACTTGCTGCAAAGCATACCGGAGCCATGACTGGAGCATCTTGGGGAAACAAGCATCTGGTTTGAGCTCTTGCCGCCCCGTTGCGACATGGGGAAGAATGAATCTCAAGTGACCCAAAACCACCCTGGAATGTGTGTTTTCTTCAGCAGAAGAAGGTGGAGAAAGGGTATCTGCCCCATAATTTGGCAATGGCTGTTTTGAGAGGCAGATGCGGTGTTGGTTGGGACAGTGCGGGATCCCAAAAGAGAACTGATTCTTTCAACCTTTGTTGTTTTGTTTGGTTTGTTTGTTTGTTTGTTTTTCTTATTGGGTCTTTTTTTCCTCTTTTAGCAGCAGGGAGACAACCTTGAGGGAAGCAGCCCCTCCTTCCCAGCCCGTCCCAGGCACTGTGATTTTGATGCTTCATTTCATGAAGGCAGGTGGAAATGTTTCATGCAAGGTGCGTGAGCTCCTGAATGATCCAACAACAGCAAACCCACCAGGCAGCAGAGAGGAGCACTGGGCTAAAGCAGCCTTGCCCGGGCAGGGACACAGCAGGGTCGTGGGTGTTTGCAGAGCAAACGCTGCAGCGGAGAGACTTTGGGAGCTGTACCTGGTGCTTGCTGCTGCTGTTTTAAGAGCAGAGGATGAGAGCAGACTTGGGAAGGCAAACTAAAAAGCAAGCTCAAGAAAGTAAACAGCAAAACTGGGTGGGTTGTGTGAGCATAAGACCCCCTTTAGCAACCTGGGTGCTATTGGCTGCGTTACTGTGATGGCAACTCCATCAAACCAGCAGCTCCTCCGATCTGAGCTCTGTGCCAGTGCAGCACAGCCTGATTTTGGAGAGGAAAAAACCTGTTTGTAGAGATCTTCCTTCTCATCCAGACCTAACTTGGTACCTCCAAGCAAATATGCTCTTGGGGCACCTTTTCTCCATGAAGCAAAATCAAATTACTGGCAAATTGGGCACTCACACAACCCACCCAACAAGGCAGACGAGCTACTTGGAGGCTGGGGATGAATTTTGAACTACACGCACGGCTCTTGAGGGTACCCAGGCAGCTCTGTCGCTGAGCACTGCCTGTCAGCACACCCGTGGTGGGTTAGTAGCCACCCAGCCCAAGTGGATTTATAGAGGTTAATATCTCTAATCCACAGACACCGAAAGAACAATCCACCTACTTATGCAGGGGGCGATGGGAGACCGGCTCTGCTGGTAGCCTTTGGCGCATCGGTTGCACGTGATGCCGGTGACACCGTCCTTACAGGGACACTGGCCTGTGGTTTGGTTACAGGTTTGCCCGGCGGCGCCCACGGGATGGCAATCGCACTCTGTGGGGGAAAAAGCACACAACAGGAGGGTCAGGGGTGCTGGCAGCTTCACCTTCATCCACAGCTGGTGCTGGACCTCCGGCAAATGTCGCATCCAGCCGGCGACCACGCCGACCTGAAACAGCGGTGGCGTTTGGCAGGAGAGGGGATGCTGAGATGGAACAGCAGCCAGGACATCTTGCCCAGGGGCAGGGAGGGCTCGACGGGTCTGGGGAGGTGGTGTGGGATGCCCCCAGGCAAGGATAGCCCACTCGTGGATGCTGCAGCTGCCTCGTGCCCTGGGTGCTGGGATCAAGAGTTTGCAGAGCTTGAAGAGGAGGGGAGCAGGCAAGGAAGTGCTGCTGGGGGATTCCGGGAACTGCAGCACCCACTGCCCCACTCAAACCATCCTCAAACTCCCTTGGAGCAGCAGCAGGGCTGCAAGGAATGGATATAAAACCTGGGAGCATTTCATCACCCTGTCAGCAAGCGAGATCCCAGGCAGGAAGCAATCACTTTCAGAGATGTTGGGAATTCATTTCACGCGCGCTACAAAAAAAAAACCAACAACCAAACCCACACACAAAAAACAAAACCCAAACCAAACAACCCCCCAAAAACAAACACCCTCCTTTCAGTGCTTTCGCTTGAGCCCTTCCCCGCTGAGCAGCATCCCTGGCAGCTGGCACAGCGGGCGCAGGAAGGAAATGCCCTTGTGGGACGCAGGCAGGCTGGAGGACCTGCTGTTCCCGGCCAGATGGATGAAGGCTTGACGGCAGAGCTGGGCAGATGTGAAGGGTTTGGCAGGGGATGTAAATACTGCACTTGAAACCATTCACCGTCTCATTTCCCACAGTGGGACTTACCGGCGCAGCTGTTTGTTAAAAAAAAAAAAAAGAAGAAAATAAGAAAAAGAAAAAGCATCGGGGCTTGTTATCATCGCTGCCTCAAAAGGATTATGGCCTCGCACATTTGTTAACAGTCCTGATTTCTAAGAGCTGCAAGCGCCGTGCCAGACTGTGGTCTGCCCCTGCTGAGCGGTGGCAGGGAAAGGCAGGAAAGCTTCACTTTTTTCTGCAGCATCCTCGGGAAGGAGCCAGCTAAAACCCTCCCTGGGGAGCGCTGAGTCTGCTCTCCTTCTGCCCCTCAGGGGAGCTGCCTGCCAGAAAAGGGAGTGGGGAGAAAAACCTGCCCCACTGCCCAAAACTTGGAGAGGGGTTGGGTGTGGGCCAGGACCGGTGCGAGTGCCTTCACAGGCTCCGGCAACTGGGTTTGGCTTTCGCCCCCCCCAAATGCCCTAAATTGAGCTTATCGCTCCCATGAGGGTTTGTGCTAGACCCTACAATGCTTCTCAGCTTGTCTTGCACCCTGTTGGCTCTGAGACACCCTAGATGTGCCTCATTCGGGGAAGGCAGATCGCATCCCGCTTTCATCCCTTTTTGGTTGTCCAAGTTTGGGTGTTTGGCTGCAACTTCCCTCCAACCCTCTCAGCACCATCCTGCTCCCTGTGCACCCGCAGCCCCCAGTTTGACTTTTCCTGGGCAGCAGCTCCCAGGCTGGCCCCACACCCTGCAGGGTTTCGATGGTGCCTGGAGCCTGCCCTGTGCTGGGATGTCCCCTTCGTCCCGCATGGGGCACCCCAACCCTGCCCCCTAGTGCCACCAGTGCTGGATGAGTAGAGACCAAGCCTTGCCAAAACCTGATGATTTTTCCAGGGGGGAAAAACATCCCAACAGCAAAGCTTTTGCTTCTTTTCCCC